GTCAAAGAGTTCAAAATTTATATCAATTTTTAAATTCACGTATAATTGTAAGATGCAAATAAACATAATATTTTGTTTTTAAATTGAAATTTAACTTTCGTAAACTTCTTCATATGTTTCATAACTTAAATTTAATAATGATTTTACGTCATTGTCCAATTCATTTTTTTTTGGTATGTTGCAAATTGAGGAAATATATGGATCTGAAGTGACAAGTAATAAGTGTAGAACGTCTTCATTTTGAGCTACTCTACTAATTTTTCGCGAGTGATGTTCGCGATAATTTTTATAGTCTTTATTTCGAGCTTCCTGTGCTTCCTCGGAAAGTTGTCCTTAAAAATGTTCATATTACATTAGTTAATTATAATAAAGTTTATAATGGCTTTTACGCCAAAGTCTTTGTAAAACCAAAGTAAACTTTAAAATTGAATGGTTGACTAACTTAATGTGTATTGCGGTTCCCATTTTACATTTTCATACCGTGCCCTCAAAATTTCAAATAAATAGTTTCTCGATTTTAAAAAATGGGGATTTAGTGGACCTCTATTTTTTAATAGCTGATAAAAATCATTATAAGAATAATACCGAGAATCAGTGTTATTCCAATCCAAATTGTCGTCAATTTCAGAATCATTTATTCCAACACTGCCGCTAGAGCTACCTACAAAAAAAATTATTAAAAATACAGATGCAAATGGATGCAAACCAAATTTTGGGATCTGGTACTGAAGAATAAGTACTATATTGTATGTATATTGAATAACGATTATTATTTTTTAGTTATACGCTTTGAAATATCAATATTAACATTTTTTTACTACTTTTTTAACTTTGTTTTAATAGTAAAATATTAATATTTTAAAATATTCAATAATCAATATTTAAAATATTGATAATATTAATATGAAACACTTACCTAAGTTTTCGAATTCGTTACTTATATGAAACTAATTCAAAAAAAAAAAAAAAAGTTTACCTGTGTATAATATACTAAAAAAATGTAATGTACAATCGGTGAACGATTCGACGTTTGTGAGCGCGTTATTATGTTTTACTTATCGCTTGCGCCGCTTGATAGTGTTAATATTATCTGAAATTCTATTTTTTTGTTATATAGAACTTATATATAATGGGTTAATAACATAAAATACCTATTTTTATGAATTTTAATAATTGACTTTATTCCACCTAAATTAGCTTTTAGACCACTGTGCGGCCGGAACCTACTTGTGTTGACAGTTTGTTATAGAACACAAAAAATAAAAGTATTTCAGGTTAATTATTTTAGGTATAGAAAATCAATTACGTTGATTACAATTGTTGGTGCACTATGTTCCTGACTATACCAGTTTAGCGGTTTAACTTACTATCAAATGACAATTGATTACGTGATTAGAAACCTTTCGAATGGATACTGTTAAATTGAAATAGATAATATTAAAATAAACCGGTAGGTATCGTAAAATTAGATTTCAACGTGGCCTTTGTAAAGCAGCTACGATCTTAATTCTGAACAATGTTTTGTCATAATGAAAAAAGGGCCGTAATCGTTCATAGCTATCAAGCTTCAATTTTAAGTAAACAACAGCAGTGACGTCTATCGCCTCGGGACGAACGAAAAATGATAATAATATTAAATAAAGCGTTGGCAATTATTTCGGTGGCAATATTTTTAGAATGCCTTTTTCTGTACAGTCTTGATGAAAACTGAACAACCATCGTGTACCGACAAAATATAACCATAAAAAACAACAATTCCTAAAAGCTGACCTAATCATTTGAAAATATGCATTTAAATTGCAATCGTATAATAATTTCTTGAAACAACTTTTTAAGGTTATTATTATTATTATTATTATTATTATTATTATTTACATCTTGAGTAGATTTTTATCTATATTAAGAATTCGTTATTGTTATAGCGAATTCTTACATTAAACTTTATATCGTTACTAAAAATTAAAGTGGAAATTCTTTCAAAAAAATGGTCTATTTAATACAAGTACAAATGGCAATCATGTACAAGACATAGGTACAAAACGGGTTATGGCCAATTGATGCGTCCTATCTCTAATACATAAAGTGATACATTAATATTCCATTTTACAATGTATACAAAAAAAACTTTTCCCTTTAAGTTATGAAGAAATGCGCTTTATGTAAATAAGCTCATCCGGGGTCCTGTAAAGGCGGCGAGATTATGAAACTAGTCAATAGCACGTTATTTAGACCAATCCTTGATTTAATTATTATTTTGCAATTTTTATTGATATCACACTTGTATACTGTTTTAAAACTAATTTTGTAAATTAATTTATTATTCAATACTTTTCTAAGAGTTCTAAATTTATAATTATCAAACTATAAGGACATGTTAGGTCTATAAATCCTAATATATATCAAGGATATTGTACAGCAATTCTACTTTAAATTTAATTTTTAACTCCTAACTTTAATGGATTATTGTGCTTTTTGATGCTCTATTTTAGTAAGATTTACCTGATGAAAAATCTAACTTAATACAAATATTATGAATATATCATGACTAAAACAGTTTTAACGACGTTCTATTCAACAAAAATGTTTGCAAAAATAATGAATAAAAAATATACAACAAAATTCTGTAAATTTGTAATGCAATTCATCTCATTTTTTAAAACGAATGGATTGAAATTGACATTATCAATGTTTAACTTTCAGATAGGCACAGTTATGATTTCTGATGTTTAAGGATTTTGATCAAAATTAATGTATCTAAAGGTTATAATACTGATCGGAGTACTTTAAAGAGAGTGTCTTCTATGACCGAACACACTTTGTTATAAAAAATTAAAATTTAAAAAGTTATAGTCTACTTAAAGCCCTAACGGCTAAAACTATAAATGATGAAACATGCTTTAGCCTGCTAGCTCCTGAATAGTGATAATGATGGGGATGGAATGAAGGTGGGGATGGGGATGGGGGTGGGAATGGGAATTATTTTACTCAGCCCTGGTAGACTAAATCTCGGGCAACGCCGGGTCCGGACAGCTTGTTATCTTATAAATTATTGTTATTATACGTATAAAGTAAGCGCGCTACTTTAGTATCGCAATTTAGTGTCGTTTTCGGGCTGGGGGCCAAGGCTAAAGCATGTTCCTTGCTAAAATGCCAATATTCAAATGAGAGTTTGTTGATAAATATCATTCGTAGGAGATTGATCAGTGCAAATAGTCTACTTTAGGAATTGGGTGGCTTAGGTTGCTCGATTTAGGTAACTAGATTTAGGCTAGAAACTATATATTAGTATGAAAAGTATTATTGTTATCCTTTTAAATAAAAACAAATGTAGCAGAGGTGTTCCGACTTTCCACATACCCTTTCAGTTGAAACACCCATTTATTAAAAAGCTTCTTTTAATGAAACTTTGGGGTTTCCATCCCTTTCCGAAAAAAATTTCACAAAATGCGCCACTAATAATATTAGTTTAAACGTTCATCACAAAATGTAGATGAACAAAATTCAGAATACATAGTATCGTATATTATATATATTATCTATAATACTTTTTTCAGTCCTCAAAACGAGTCGTTGATGGAAACACGTCATACCTGGTTACTATAGTATGTATATATTGTATATACATATAATAGCTCGGCTTATATTCGTAATGGCTGATTTTATAAATGTAATGATGTAAAATTAACAACAAAATTACAGGGTGGCGGTTAATAAAAAAACGGTAATTATTATTATTATTATTTTCGTGTTTTTCTTTTAACATCATGTTATCTAACACAATTAACACGGGCGCCATTTCTGCTTCTGTTGCTGGGTTATATTATTTTTCATAGCACGTACTGCTCGATTAAAGGGCTCTAAAATAAACACGGTGTACATACGTGAAGGGGCCGTTTACCGCATGCGGTGGTCGTGCGGTCTGTGATGGGTTCTGTATTTATACCGTAATGTATTTGTTGTTAATATAATTAATTGAAACGGACATGCGGCCTAATGAATATCGACCGAAAGACTAAATTCTACTTAACTATAATACAATATCGTGTGCGATCAAAACGGATATTATCGTCTTTTTTTTTTTTTTTATGCCCGATTTTCAATTTAAGACCACTCGAAACACCTGATGCGTCAATTTCAATGATGTTCGTCGTTCATTATTTCCCCCTTTTCAAAAGGAAGTCTTATTAACGCGCGTTAACCGTACTTTGATGTCAACTCCAGAACCCAACGATAAAATATGGTCCGCCAAGTGCTTACAGGAGAGTACCTCCGTTTAGTGGATTGAATTTTCAATATTAAACACCGTGTTGGTGACGTATAACTAATACGCGTGTAATAACTGCGATTACTTTATTAAAATATAACGCACGCGTATAGTGAATAGTTTTCGGCGTTAAAGGGATGCGAGTGTCAATTATTATTAGTCGTTTGAATATTATATATTTACATATTATGCGGATGCGCAGAGTTAATTTATGAAAAACGCGATGGGTTTCCCTTCTATATATATATATATTTTTTTTTTTTTTTGAAAACCCTTTGAATAGGCTTTTGCCGCGAGGGTTGTGACTGTGGGTCATGGCGATCGTCGACGACGACTGACGACCGTTGTCGAACTGAAGCTACCCGCGCAGACCGCCTTCTCCCTTTTTGTGGGAGGACGGCCGACGCAGCGCTTCTTGCCGGCAACGAAATTTCGGTTTTCCAGAGACGTGTGCACGGGCCGGGGAGGTTCAAAAAAGGGTCGACTGAAAATTTTAAATAAATATGAAAAACGGTTAATTAAAATATACTGTCGATGGATACGAAGACTACGGTACATAAGGTGAAACGATTGATTAACGAATGTGGGCCATTGGTTTTGCCCGGATTTTTGGGCACTGGTTGCCCGGCAACATCTCACCTGTAATAGCCGTTGCTAGGGAGACCAGGAGCCCCGGCGGGGCCATCTGTTGCACGGCCAGAGTTCGGGGTGTACCATGACCAAAGCCGCTGCAAAACATTGATGTAGACTACCGGAGCACGCTTGCCGCCTATTTATAGTATATACGCTGCCGCTGCACGCTTATGTAACCGCCGCCGAGTCGTCCGTGTCCCATCATGCAGCAGGGCTACAATGGCACGCGGTACGGCCAAGGTAAGCGCAACAATTTTTTTTCTTTTCATTTTTTCTTCTTCTTAGACAGACAGGCGTCGTTTATATACACACACACATATATATATATATATCCCTTTCCATTTTTTAAAACTATATACTTTATATAAATATACATTTTTTTTTTTTACCGCGCCGCTGCGTCCGTACACGTTGCCCAACATGCGACCTTAGGTAAATGTAATAATATATATAGCCACGGGCTTAAACTTATGTATAAATATATGTATTATATGACGATCGTATACCCAGAAAGTCGCATTGACGATTAGTATAATATGTTTTACACGAATGCCAAAAAAAAATCCGTCCGAAACTCGAGGGATTTGTTAATCTGGTACCATGTTTGTTTTTATCGACAACTAAAATATACAATTTCCCCTCTCGTTGTTTTCCCTTGCAACTAAAAAATAGCATAAATTGTTTTTTTATAGTTTTATTCGTACGGATCGGTAGTGTAAAAAAAATACATTTTTAACGCAGTAATGATATGTATTTGATTGTTTGTAACAACGTTATTAATTTGAAATCGATCAAATAACAGTTGATCGTTGTGATATTTCCGTACAAAAACAAAGTTTAAAACAATCATATCGATTTATGTATGGTACCTTCTATTTTACTTTTTGAACCATATATCTAAAATATAGTTTCATTTATCTTGTGTTACGTCCCTTTAGACCCTTTTTATTTCTATGTCATTCTATACCGTTTCATTTAAAATCAATTCCAGTTAAATAGTTCGGATATTTCTGTTAAATGTATCACTGTCAAAAGAATATGATTTTTGGTCGAAGCAAAGATAATGGTATGGCTTTTGCTTTACACTCCTCGACTAATCGACAAAGCTTTGACTGAAAAGGAAAATGTATAAATCCTCTATAGACAGTCGTTTGGATTTAACTACAATTTTTGGAAAAATGAATTAAATCACAACCAATAATATTATACATAATATTATATCTATAAATAAATACACTCTACTTGAAAAATTAATCTTTTAAAAATAAAAGCTATCTATTTCGATGATTCTTCAAAACGATTTTGGATCATTTCAATTTTTTATTTGGTCATTTTGAGCGATGGTTTAGTTTTGTTTCAAGTTCAATAAATATATTTCAACATTAACCTTGGCAATTTACAATTTTTAATTACAAATAAAATCAATATAGATTACTACTACATAGGTACATGTTTTTTATAGTATAATAAATACAAATTTAAATGGTTCTTTTTACTCAAATGCATTATAATACAGTTGTACATTTCATAAAATATTATGTTTCTACTACAATATTAAATACAATATTTAAAATGTACACATATTAAATGTGTGTCTAGTTAAATGGTTAAATATTTCCATTTTTTTAAATGTTTATGAAAAAATAAAAACTAGTTAAATTGTATAAGTACATTATCTCCGCAGAAAAAGGTAATATGTAAATTCACCTTAAAACAAACGACTACTATTTAGTTCAACTGTTGTGTCTTTTGTTTATTTAGCTGGTAGAATTAATTAATTACAACCCCGCTCACATTTGCACTCGAGTAAATTATCGTTCAGTTAATTATGGTGATGTTAATTTAAAAGTTACAATTAATTTAAGCCAGAGTCGTAACTTCCTACAAGACCATTACATTATTACAAGAAATACTATACCGCATATGACGTATAGAGTATAATATAATATTAAGCACGCCAAATTCAAAATTTCAAACAGATTCCGACATGTTGGTCGCACGATCATCTTTAATGTTATATGCACAATTTATACACATAATTCTAATAATAACATGTATGCCTTTTGATCTTTTGACTTCGAGTAATGTAAAACCGAAAAAGGTAGATACGCGATAAATCTGGGCATTCCCAAAGGCATTATAGTCGAATCCTTTTCATCTGCTTAACCTTTTGCCCTTTCGTCGCACCATCAACGTGCTCGTTCTATAATACTGTTGCAAAATAAATTGAACCAATAAACCCTAAGGGCTTAACCTATTGTTGAAGTCTATGTAGACGTGCCATAAACCTTACGCGTTGACAAAAGTTTAATAATCGTATTTTTTGATATTTCTTTTCCTAAACATATACTTGTAGAAATTCGGCCTGTACTAAATGTCAAATATCATTTGGTAAAATGTTTTACTTTCATGCCCAATACTATTGTAAAATCTTCTATAAAATAATTATTTTTAACCTCCTAATTTTCACCATCTGATACATATTTTACGCTTGATATTTTAATGGCAAAATATTAAGGATAAACTTTGCTATTTTAGGGGTTCTATTTCCGTTTCGACATCTTAAAGGTACCCAACCAAAACTATTATATTAGTTGAGAAACTATTCTACCGGATCTTAAGGCTTAAGCACACAACTTTTTTTATTAAAAACAGAATTTTGGAATAGACTTTCATTTTTGTATAAGTAGAAGATTTTAATGATGATTGACAAAGTTATGCTTATTGACAGTAAGCCTAAAAAACACAGGCCTTATTGAAAAACATTAAATTCTTTTCATATCGTATTTAACAAAATATTTAAATGAATATATGTAAAACAATAACTTTTTTTATAGCTTTGAAGTAAGTTTTTTTTTTAGAAATGTTACTCGCATTATTACCAATATAACTATTTTTTTTTTGTAAATTTCATTTAGACACTTCGAGAAAAAGAAATTGTAACACTATACGTTTTTAAACACAAATAATTTTCGATAAGTAAATTAATTATTTCAAGCTGTTGACTGCGCGGCTTGTTGAAATGATGTTTCTTCTTAAATAAAACGGATTTTACTATAACAGTACTGTCTGTATTGTTTAAGAATTAACTAGACGTGGTATACGTGTACAATGCTAATAGCTGTAAAAAATTACATATCGACAACTGATATATCTCGCTAGACGCTAACAGTATAATATAATAATAGAGAGGAAAAACGTACAGCTTTTATATATGCAACTGATGGCGTTAAACGTGATATATACATTCCAAGTTTATAAGTATATTTAAAATGTTTGTATATACGAGTACCTACTTGTATTTGCTAGTGTATCAACGTGAAAAACCAAGAGTAGCTATTCAAGCCCTCAGTGGATTTATATAATTATATATATATATAAACATATGTGTAGGTGTACAAGAAGAAAAACGGCAACTCTATGTACTTCCTCGTCATTTTTTAACATAAAACATTTTAACTTCTTACTAATAAATGTTAAAACTTCAAAATTACTATTTTGCTATTTCACAATAAAACTTGTTATAGCCCACCTAAATGGAAAACAGTTATAACTTGAAAACTTTCTAAAGAGAATGACATTAGAAAACTAAGATTTTCAAGGGTCGTGTTTTAGATTTAAGAATATTTTTTAAAATTGAAATACTGTTAGAAAAAATGTTGAAGTAAGCTAATTTTTCGTTAATAATAATATGGGGGTTATATATTAAATCGTATGAAACTTATCCTAACAGCTCTCAGTTTAGTTTTTTTAACTATATAACACAGTTAAAGTTTGGTTTGTTTAACTATTAACATTGACAATAGTGAACAGTTTTAGAAATAAAAAAAACCAACTATTTTTTCGTTTCTTCCCGGAGTTCATATTTTGTTCTAGTTTTAGTAGAAACAACGTTCATTTGAATTCCTCAGTTAATAAGCTAATGTTAAAATTAACTATTCTAGTTATTATCTAATGAATATTTAAAATCATAATAATATTTCAATAGTATTAATTTTAATTTTAGGATAATCGTTTTACGATATATCATATATTAAATTATGTAATATTAATTCTTTCATTAAATGTTAATTTTCATAACAATGAGAGCTGCCAACATAGCACCTACCTACGTACTTGTACAATTTATTAACATAATATTAGTACTAATTGTAAGTTAGTGAACAACCTTTCGATCATATCCATCATTTATATCCATATAACATTTAAGATGTTAATATTATACTATAAACTATAGATTTTCCTCGAAACTTTATAGTAACCTTTTTTCCATATTTCAATTTCCCTTGAAAGTTTTAAGTTTTTTAAGTCGTGTTATACATAACTTGTTACATTTTATATACTTCATATTCACACATAAAATATTTTACAAGCGTAATCGTAAATTTTTACAATATCTAAAAAGTGAACTACCTTTATTTTATGAACTGACTGGTTTCGATAATATACCAGTCTAGCAACAGCAAAAAATGTGTTTTGTCCGTTTGTCATTAAAGTGTTAATTTTTCCCGAAGGGGCAATATAAATTTTATATTTTTGTATTTAAATATACAAACAATATATTTGTTGCTATCCAAAGTTCGAGCTTAATAAAAGCTTGGCATAATAAACCATCTAATCATAACATTTATAAACAATAACAAAGAATCAATTTTCTGAAACAATAATTGATTAATACACAAACGAATGAATTTAATGGTAAAAAAGTCTAAAGAAGTTTATTAAAACTGTAAAAAAGTCGTACAGTTTTTAATTTCCTTTCGGTTCAATTTAAATTTATATAACATCAAAAATTGAAGAATAGTTCATTTATTAATCAATTGTTTAAGAGACCTCTACATCTGCATATTTTTGGTCGAAAATATCTTATTTTAATTTTAACCTTACTCTATAAACAGTAAATCGACACTAGTAATTTTTAATAGGTAGATTTTTATATAGCGATCGAAGACATTTTTTATCTTCCGTTTTTAATATTATCGTATTAATACTTAACTAAAAATTTGTTGTGCCACGATCACCACCTTGTAAATATTAGAAAAATTAAAATAGTGTTACAACACTGTTGTACAACAGTGTTAATACACTACACTTCAATTTGATTTATTGCACTTTTTTTAGATCGTAATATCCGTAAGCAAATATATTTTCTGAATTCAATTTAATAAAATTTCAAATATCTGAAACTCGAGAAAGTTATTTTTCCGGAGCCAAAATAAATAGTTTTCGGTTATATAATA